ATTCCGACAATATATTGAGCGGACTATTCATTTGAAACTAATATTTTTTTGTCTTTTCAACGTTTGGCGTCAAATATGGACACCAAAAGTACCAAAATATAACTTTAATAGAGCTCTACATTTGTAGCCAAACATTGAAAATATTAAAAAAATTGTTACACACTCAAAATATTAGCTACGGCCAGGCGCTGAAAACAATAGAAGTGGTTGTTATAGTGATTGTAGTAATGTGAGTGTTAATATAATTATAACAATAACTTTTATTGTTTTCACTGAGCTGAGTTGTTTATATAAACAAATGATTCCGAACGATTTTTGTGGATTGTTCTAGAATACCGGCCCGGATGTAAGACATTTTATTTTATTTGAAAATTTTCAAATCAAATCATTGATTTGTGATTTGATTTGTTGATTTTCAAATCAATTGATCTCAAATCTGAGAACCCTGCTGAAAACATAACGATTTCAAAGAATTTCTATGCTTATTGACTGCCAATGTTGTCATTTTAATTTTTCCATTGAAGAAAAACATCGGTTTCTGACAGTCTATGTATTTCGGATGGATAGCCATCCGAGATATTTTAAAATATCTGGATATTCAACGCAACTGCACAGCGACAGAGCTGTATGCGTCGCAAATAGAATCTACGGTATGTCGCGATGTATATTTGTATCAAGTGCCGCACGTACACAGTCACACTGTGTCTGTATTTTACGTGTAGCGACATACCGTAGATTATATGTGCGACGCACACAGCTCTGGCTCTGTGCAGTTGCGTTAAATATCCAGATATTCTAAAATATCTCGGATGGATATCCATCCGAAATACATAGACTGGTTTCTGATAATAATTGGATATTCCGAATACAGAGATCACTTTGTGTATATCTTAAGCATTCTTTCTTATTTTTTATCCAGTGAAATGTGAAATAAAGCTACTTATCGGTAATAGTCGCATAATATTTTCTTCATTACTGTGATTTAATTGGTACAATAATTAACGAACATTCGGCATAGTTGCTTCAATGAGTTCCTGGATTTTGAATCAATTTTAGCACTAATGTTTTTACCTGCCAGGATTTTTTTTTTTCAATAAATTCGAATGATTAAAATTTTTGGCAGACGTGATATGATTTTGTGCAGAATATCCGAAATCTCATCCGGTATGTTTCTGTATTGTAGAACAAATGTTTGGCTACTCTTCAGTCAATCATGTTTATTAAGCATACAACAGGCATTTTTGATATTGTATTACCAAAAGCACATTCACACACATAGCGCTCAATCCAGTTCACACAGAATACAATCGTTCTTTATTTCTCATACTTACTACCACTTCTGTCTACGACCTGCGGTGGTTGTTATATGGATGCTTCTGTACTTGCGTTTAGTTTTGATTTATTCGCCAACGAGATCGTTTCAACTTTTACAGCTTTCTCTCAACATTGAACATTCAAAAATTTGAAAAGAAAAAATAGGCGACCGATTTTGTTTTGCCAATAACCTTTTTTGCTGTGAATCTTTAAGAAAGAAGAAAAATCCTAGATGGTTCGTCACAATATTTTAATCGTTGTGGTTTAACCTTCAAGTTTATATCGATAGAATTTGTTATGGAATTTTAAAACAATAACAAAAGATGGTTACAATATTTGGCGCACTCATTTTGAACCCCCCATTATGAGGGATCAAAACAAAATTGTGGCTTTTCACTTGCAGTAATTAAATTCATAATCGACGATGCATGACGTAAATTGAAAATGTGTGCTTGATACAATTAATTTTTCAATTACACAAGCTTAAAGCTTTGTTCATTTAACGGTTTTTTCAGGTGACAAATAAAAGAAAAGTTATCCCATCGATGTGGTATCTTGGCCTGTTGCGTTTATTTTTCGACTGCTTTTTTATTCATGTGTCGAAAAAAGGTCAAAATATTTATAGATTCATTGAATAATTTTGCTTGAGTTGAACAATCATTTTTGCTGAATTCTTTTGCTTTTTTATGTGTTAAATTGAAAGAATTGATAAAATAATAATCGATTTTTGAAGTCACTTCATATGTGTAAATTTTGATTGAAACAATTCAGTGTATTCGATTTTTTACAATCTGCCAATTTGTATCCAAAAAAAATGTTAACATTTCTCTTTCTTGGTAACACAGTAAAACAAAATCGCAACATGAAATTCAATTTGTGAAGAAGAAAAAAGAATTGCGAAAAAAGAAGGAAAAACTCGCGCTCAAATAATTTAGAACAATAGATTCAATTGAGACATATCTCACATAACTTGCCTGTCATACGATACAAATGACAACGTCACGAAATTGTAAATGAGCATCAACAGCAGACAAAAAAATATATGTAAACATCACACATCAAAACTGGTTTCCGCGAATATTTTTCAATACTGAATTAATTTACACGCTTGCGCGATAAATGTATTTTTTAGCGCCGTCCGAATATAGAATTTAAAATGAATTGTATCAAATCGGAGAGACTGGTCAGATTCTTCATAATTAATAAGCGTTTGCGGTGTGCTTTCTGTAGTCGGTGACCGACTGTCGGTCACATTTGTTCGTATAATTTTTTGTTTTGTTGGTAAATAAACAATTTGAACTTCAAAAAAGTGAAACAGAAATGATGTCAAAGACATTGTGGTCAATTGAATGTGTTAATTATTAATTAAATGCTGTGAATTCATCGCCTCCACCAACATCTACCAAACTTAAGCTCTAATAAACAGTCTACGGATCAATCGTTCGATTAAGATAAACAATAAACATTTTTAGTTGCAGAGTAGCACATTAATTTATTGTTTATCATTTAAGGTGCAATAGCTTCGAAGCAAACCACAATATTTACTTCATTCTTGCATGACATATAAGCCGTCAATATTAATATATTAAATGGTTGTTGAAGGCACTCATTTGAATAAACTGTTGCGACGCGCTTTGCTTTCTCTCAATCTCTCTTTCTCACTCTCTCTTGGTAGCCCATGTATCAAATGAGCAGCCATTTTTACATGCCTATGCCCTAAACTTACGCATACAATTCAGCAATGAAATTTGTGCCTATGTAGTTCAACTTCTGTAAGTTTATGTTCTTCTGTCCTAGAAGATGGACACATAAGATTTGTGACTGGAAAGGATTTGTTTATGAAGATATGAATAAATATTAATAAAAATTGTTCAAAATTGGTGAAGATTGGTGAATATCGGTAGAAATAAACATGATTGCAATACATTGATGGAGATTTGATTAGCAAAGATTGGCGAAATTTAAAATGATTCGTGGTAGTCATGATAGTGTCCACCCTTAGCTCCAACCGTTTCAGCAATAGATGGTGTAACGCGACTCATTTTGCGATTTTCTTCGAACTGAGATGCGTGGTAACCTTAACTGAAATCTTTGACGGATGCACAATACAAAAACTTCAAAGGAACGCACACTCACCAAAAATACTTTTGCGTTGTGACATTCTTCGGCGATGAATTCAAAGAATTTTTATTAAGTCAGCAATTTTCTTCGCATAATTGTTGCTATAAACAATTTTTTCTACTTCGTTGCACTTTAATTTAAAATTGAATATTTTCATTGAGAAAAAAGAAGAAGAATAAAAAGAAACAAATAATTATATATGAATCGTATGCAGCTTTATATCAATAATATAAATATTTAAATCATCAGTTGAAATTCATTTCATGCGATCGTTATTTTTAGTTTCTCCCTCTCTTCATCTCTAAAAAGTGTTTATTAAACAATCAACAATGGTTGAAACGTCATGATCTTCAATGAATTCAAGTCTGGTTACATATCTGTCTTCATTAACAATGATTTAATGATTTTCAAATGGGTAATAACAACGAGAAACCATCAGTACATTAAGTTTTCAAGACACATTTCAACTGGATTCTTACGATATTTGAAACACCTATTTGTCTATATAGTTTAAAGCGAAATCTCTCAATTTAAATAATTTCTTGAAAATTTCCAGATATTTAATATCATGTGTCAAATTGAATAGTGACCTAAGTGAAAATGCAATTTGAAACGAAGGCGAATATAAGTGCACTCCACTTTTAGTGAAATGTGAAAAATAACGAATTAAAGTGATTTTGAGTGAACGATTTTTAATTAATGAATGAACTTTTAAGTGATGTAGACCAGAGTAAAATGCACACAAAAATACTATCGAAAAATATGGATGCTATGCACCGAATGTCTCGAAATGAGATAAACACTTCAAATGGCACGATTGATCCAAACGAAACTAGAGTAAATTGAAATCTCTGTCAACGAATAAAACAAAACGAAAGAACGCTCTGATAAAAACCAATTTGTTTGGAAGATAAAAGAGCAAAAGGGATATCATTGTGCATAACGTTCATATAAAAATTAAACAAGTGAGAAAGAAGACAGTGAATTTGGTATAAAAATCACCGCTAAGACAACGCATCATTTTTCATGTGAATGCATTCAAAATGGCAAAATTCAGTCGAAAACGTTATTTACACATAAAACGTATTATCACTTACATGTGTTACACAAGTTTAATAATTGGATGGCAGCAATTTAATTATATTAGTTCAGCTGGTGTGATGTCAATGGAATTCTTAAATGAAAATAACGTGTTGACAACGGTGCCAGAAGAGGCGGTAAATTTGTCATTGACACCGATGAAATTGAGCGAAAAACTTGCCGAGAGCTCCTCAAGCACTTCACCATTAACAATAAAGTCGTCTGATTTGAAAACGGGCACATCAAATGCTGTCGACAATTCACCGATTACCGGTTGGCAATGTTTCTGTTGGAATACGACAACGGGATACGAGGTAAAATTCAATTAATTTCTTTGTTTTTGTTGCTACGAAAAAAAAACTGATTGATGAAATTGTATGCCTTCTTTCGACATTTCGATTCGATTTAATTTTGCCCCTTTGTATTCATTCAAATAAGCTCAAATCGATGAACAAAAGCGAACTAACGGCGTGTACAACTGTACACTCTTTGAATATGAACGTCCTTCAAATTGTATACATATTCACCACAACCGGAAGAATCATAATTTTTCAAAATGAGCGCAACGTGACCCATTTGTTAAAATACAATAATTTCCTTAAAGAAAACCGATTATTTTTCAGAGCAAACTGATTGGCTCATATTAAATAAATTATATCTATATACGTTTTTTTTTTGCTTTCAAATTAAATGTACGTAGGATGAATTGGAATGTCGATGTAAGGGGTTGGCTTTGGTACGAGTTCCACAACGTTTGCCTGAAAATATGCAACGTTTAACCATTTCAGCGGCCGGTATTCCAATGCTGCGAACAACCGGTCTCAAAAGACATGCATCATCCCTGCAAGATGTGTAAGTTTTAGCTTGAAGTTTCGCTTAAAGTATGCAAAAATTATTTTCGACTCAGTTGCTGAAAATCTTATTATTTATTTATCCAACACAGTTTTACAACACACCATGAATGTAATTTTATTTCTTTTCATGTATTGCAGAATGTTTACCGATTTGATGGAGTTTGAATCCATTCAGCCGGGCTCATTTTCGGAATTAGTTTGTTTGAGAACAATGTATGTATTAATGTGATTTCATCTCTCGTTAATATTTATTGGGAATTTTATTTTAATCACTTCATCCAACGATTTCACACAATGATAACCTTGAAAATAAATCTCATCAATCATAAATTCGTTCACTTTGCAATGAAGTTCAAGGCATCGACAAAAATACACAATTCTCGATTTTTCTTTCTTGTATTCTTTTTTTACCATCGATTTTCTTATCTTACCTGCAATTTTTTGTTTCGTTTGCTAAATTTAGCTACATATCAAATGCGCCAAAACTTATGTATTTATCAGCCAATGTTTTCGAAGGTATTGCATCGACTTTAAAATCACTGTGAGTTACGTAGATATAAACAAATCATGACATTTTACATAACATTTTAATCCAATTTGGTTTTCTTTTCACTTAGGAGAATTATAAATTGCTCGCTCAAACGGATTCCGGACTTAAGCTATCTCAAATCAATACGAACAATTTTAAATATGGTGTGAGTTTTTACGTAAGGAGTTCATTTGTTTGTCGTTTTTTTTGTCTATTATTTGGAATAGCAACATTTTTTTTACCGATATTTCTATTTAATTTCATAATTTTTCTATTTTTAGTGTCTCGATTCAAGTATTGACATTATTTCTTTCATTTCAGCGATTTCGAGGGAAATCAAATTGAAGAAATTTATCCCAAATCCGTAAACATTCGAACAGAACAATTGTAAGCATCGAAATTTGTTTAGTATATAGACTCGTTCTAGGGGCCAAAGACTGTTTGCAAGTTTCAGATACTTGTCAAATAACTTTCAAGAATATATACGAATTCATAGCTGTTATTTTTTTCATAGCTGTTATTGGTACTGTAGTTTTTCCGCAGCACGTGAATATAAAAAAGGGCAGCACTTGGAAAAGTGCCCGCACTCCGGTGCCTATGATAATTCTGTACTTGTGGCGTAGCGGCAACATGCCAAATCAGTCAGACATGTACAAATCTATGACGATTTACATGTGGTCAATTATTTGTGACAAATTGCGTTGAAAATCAGTTGCATAAAAAGTACACAAAATTTCGAATCAAATGTTATCAAGCAAATAAGACGTCATTTTTGCGTAAACCGGTTTTGATAAATCGATTTATATATTTTTCAGCTCAAAGATATCTTATGTTCGTAATATATTTGAATATATATATATCGCATATTATGTTACAAACATATTAGTAGGTGTCAAGCTGTACTTATTTGCATTCAAATTTGAAGAAAAAAACAAAAAGTTTAAAATCGGAAAGAACTAGATAGCAGTAATTTTTATAAATTTAACATTTACTTGATGGATTTTTGAAACGTATGGAACTTGTATGTATTTAGTGCCCCTAGAACTCGTTTGGGTTCTGTTCTCTCATTCAAAATGCATGCAGCGGTGGTTGAGAACATTATAAGTTGTATACAAGAAAACAATTTTTTTTTCTTTCAATTTAAAAAATACTGATTTTAATATTTCAGCATTCTCGATAACAATGATCTCACTTATATTCCTGACTCAGCGTTCTATGGGTCTGAAATTGCAAAATTGTAAGTAATGAATTTTATAGATGAGTTTCAAAAGAAAGAGTGTTTTTTTACACTTTCTTTCAAACGTTCATCGTTTGGTATTGATAAGATATTAGGATAAGCGTTCACCAAGTCTAGTCATATTGCTGTTGTATTTTATATTTTATCAATTATTACTAATCAATGACCGAAGTGAATGTAAAAACCCACACACACTTTTTGAACTCATCGATAAAGTGCAAAAGTAAATGATAAGTACTTGATGATGAGTGATATTAAGGTCTTTTTCGCCATCCTCACACCCACATTTTCTTTAGATCATTTAAAGCGAATAAAAAGCTCCGAAAAATTCACGCAAATGGATTTGCAGGAATTCAAAATATCATGCAATTGTAGGTATTATTTTTTAAAATAAATTCTTTCAAATAAATTTTATTAACTTGAAAACTAAATGTATTTGTCAGAGATTTATCGGATACATCAATCGAAGCGATGCCACATTATGGTTTGGAAAAGCTTGAAGTATTGCGAATTCAAAATACACACACATTAAAAACTATTCCATCCGTGTATGCGTTTCAAGTAAGCATGGTCATGATCTCTTTTTGCTTCTTTTCGCGTTGCATGTATGTAAAAAAATATCAAAATCAAAAACCTTTATTGAAGAAACGGAAAATACAAGCGAAACGAATAAGTTGATTGCAACAATTTTCGGTGGTGAATTTATTTGCTTTCATATTTCCTTTCTCGCTTCAGAACTTGCGATATGCTTGGCTTACGCATCCGTTCCACTGTTGTGCATTCAAATTTCCCCAGAGACACGATCCATACCGGCATGCTCAGCGAGAGAAATATTTGGCCGAATTGCAGAAAAAATGCTTGAACAACGAACTTATGGTGGATACGAAAGTCAAACACGCTGAAAACTTTGTAAGTTCATCAACTGTACATACGTCTCTCGTGCTCATGAACTTTCCTAGATAATTCTCTCTGATTCTTTTGCTCATTCCGTTGCGAATCAATTGAATTCAAATAAACGCTGGTGTCAAACGTGATTGCACATAATTATGTAAGCTTAGAGCGAAAGAACAACATAAAAGTAAAAATGAAACGTTTTTTTTTTACAAACCGCACCGCATGTTGAGCATTAGAGTGGTTCGAACTTGACATTTTTGCGAGAATCAAAAATCGTACCCCCATATCCTCTGCAGTCATAAAAACTCACAAAAAATGGTTCCCTTGGGGCACGAGAAAACCGAATCTGACGTTAGTTTTAAGATACAATCAATTTTCGATAAATTTTTCTTACAAAAATCCCAAAAAACGAAAATTTTATATGGAAAGTGTGTTTTACTTTTATTCAAACTACTTGAAACTTTAAGAATGTTATTTTTTGGTGAAAAAAACAATCTGTGCCAAATTTTACGTTTTAACTTCATCATACAGGCACGATTCCTATACAAAAATCCAAATTCGCAAAAGGAAAACGAATTTTCTTTCAAAACCGTCATCATAGTCGTGTTTCTATGACCATCATACAGAGGTTATGGGGGTACGATTTTGAGTCTCGCAAAATAGAACCACTCTGTTGAGCATAACAAAATGATACTTTGTTGATCTTTGGCACGTTAGCATAGACCATGTTTACATTAAACTTTTTTAGTTGTCACAAATACTCTTTGTTCCGATTGATTTGAACTGTGTAGAAAATTTTACATCGTTCAATAGCGAGCACGAAATCACGTTTCATTCAATGAAGAAAGTGACAAAGAGTGGATGAATGGAGAATGAAAATGTAATGAAACTTTTCTTGGCAGGCACTTGAAAGTTCAAGACAATTCAATGAATCATTCGAAGTCATTGACGCAAACAATAAAACCCACAACAATAAAATTCTGAATAAAAGATCTACAAATGATGAGGACAGAAACTTCTACAAGTATGTATCTGCGCCATTCATTTAATTTCATTCGAAAATTGTGATTGTTACCCATATAATTCATTTGCGGAGTAATTTTGACGGTGGCGGGACTGTGCGGAGTTTGGCGGAGATGACATACAAACTCTGTGTGTGCGAGGGTAACAGCACTTCTATGTGTATCATTCTTACGCAGATGATTAGTAACTTAGCTGTGTGTACGGCTACTAAGATGTTCGATTGGACAAAATAAATCTATGAACAGCAAAGAATGCTGTTGCACTCATACACACAGCATTTGCATGCTATCTCCGCCGAACTCCGCACAGTCCCGTCATCGACAAAATTACTCCGCAAATGAGTTATATGGGTATCGATAATTTAATTTCTTTTTTTTTTAATAAATTAGCAGTCATTTTGAAGATGGTGCTGTTGGCTCATTCTCCGAAAACTCATCATTAGAATATAGCATATCATCATCATCAGATAGTAGTAATCCAATTAGCGACACATCGACCAATTTTCTAAATAATTTCGACCATTTTGGTGAGGTGTGGATGGATGAAACGGCCGACATTCTTCCAAACAACGTGAAACACGCAGTTTGCGGAAAGCTAACGGTTAAGTATGTGTTCGTTGAATTTTTCGCATAAAAATGATTTGTAGATTTGTATTTACCAAATTGGTTTACATATCAAACATTATGTATTTGTTATAATTCGACAGAAAAATCGATGTACAATGTTTTCCTCTGCCGGATGCATTAAATCCGTGTGAAGATGTCATGGGATCACAATGGTTACGTACATCTGTATGGATTGTTGTGTTGTTAGCTGTATTTGGTAATATGGCTGTACTTCTAGTGCTATTCTCAAATTGGTAACTAATTACTTTTATCATTTCACCGTTTCCACCTTTTCCACTGGACTATGAGGAGGGGGAGAGCGCTGAGGAGGATCCTCCTCTCTCCTTCTTCTCAAAGGAACAATCTATTTTCAGCTTGGCAAGCTAACGTCAGACACTGAAATAGAGCGACAACAATAGGAGTGATTTTTTTAGCTATAAAAACACTTCCATCGTTACAATCACTTTTATTTTTTCTTTCACTTCATTTCAGTGCCTGACATTAGTTGCCTGAACATGATTCATCTAATTAAAAATATCTAAATATAATGTCTGATTTCCATCCGTATAAAATGTGTAACGTGTGTGTGTGATGTCAAAAGTCTTATCTCATCCACACCAATTGAATCTTATCTTAATTCGATTTGGTGGATTAATTACTTCATAATCTTATGTGCTTTTCGATGTGTTAAGGAATGAAGTGACGGTGCCAAAATTTCTGATAAGTCATCTCGCCTTTGCCGATTTATGTCTGGGTCTTTATCTGCTACTTATCGCATCAATTGACATCCATTCCATGGGAGAATATTTCAACTTTGCGTACACTTGGCAATACGGTACTTGAATTATATTTGATATATTTTGATACAATACGGAAACAAACATGCTTGTGCCGAAAATTCAATGTTCTCACAAGATTTTTGGCTCCGATTAATTCTTACAAATAAATGTGTATAGATCTAACGAAGCATGCATACATTGTATGGAAAATACGAGAGATTTATGTGTATAGCAGCCACATTACATGATACGTAATTAAAGCGTCCACACAAAATCCAATTTATCGAACGTTTAATTGAATTAAAGGGCTTGACCATTGTAGCTGACCATGCATACCATTTATGTACACCATAAACAAGTTTCTGCATAATACGATCGTATCATTTGTTTTGGCGATATTTTTCATTTCAAAAATATAATATGAATGATGAACATGTAAAAGGCACTATTGAAATTTGCACAAAATTTAATTTAACGAAAAGTTTTCTTGCCGCTTGGTGGGATATATTTTTTTTTATCGAAGGCAAATAAAACGGCCAACCAATTTAGCATTAATAATCAATCAATTGATCTGATTGTATAATGTCTCATGTAAATTTCTACAAAAATATCTGGCCCCAGCACATTTTTCCTCTTTTATCATAGTGAAGCGACACAAAATGGGGTGTCAGGGTGTCAATTTCAATTTTCTTTGAAGCATCGTATACTGTATTAGATTTGAAGTGAAGCTGTCAGCCGAATATATTTCGTTAAGCCTTTATCGATAATTAAATCAATTTGTAGATACATTCGCTGAATTTACGATGACATGAGTGGATTCCAAAATGTATATGTGTATCAGTAGAACAAATCAATCAATCATGCTGTTTTTATATTCTTCATTGCACACAGGCATCGGGTGTAAGGTGGCGGGATTTCTTACAGTCTTTGCAACGCATTTATCCGTTTTCACATTGACCTTAATAACAATCGAACGTTGGTATGCAATAACGCATGCCATTTATCTAGATAAAAGAATTAAAATAAAAGCTGCCTCATGCATTATGGTTTGCGGTTGGGTATATTCAATGGTGATGTCATCGCTTCCACTGTTTGGCTTCAGCAACTATTCATCAACCAGGTTTGTACAAATGCATCGTTCAATTTATTTTTATAAAATGGCCTTAAAAATATTTAAACCCAAAAGTAATTTGAAAAAAGTTCGAACCACTTCATAAAATCATGATAATATATATATCATTGTAGCCTGTTTAATATGTATGACCGCATTGATTTATAAACAAATCAAAATTCGTTATAACCCATTGAATATTGTATGGATGGGTGCTTCAATTTATTTGCGACGTGTTTATCTTTTCCATATAGTATTTGTATGCCAATGGAGGCCCGAGACTCGCTTGACATCGCTTATTTGGTTGCAATAATGGCAGTAAATGGATTGGCATTTTGTATAATAGCCATTTGTTATGCTCGCATGTATTTTTCGTTGGACAAAGAGACAAGGCATGCGGTTTCCCATGTGTCCAGAGGTGAAATGACGGTGGCAAAGAAAATGGCATTGCTTGTGTTTACAAATTTCGCATGTTGGGCACCAATCGCCTTTTTCGGATTAACAGCGTTAGCCGGTTTACCACTTATCGATGTAGCCAAATCAAAAATACTGCTTGTCTTCTTTTATCCACTAAATTCGTGTGCCGATCCATATTTGTATGCGATTTTAACATCACAATATCGACGTGATTTATTTGTGCTTCTGTCCAAGTAAACTATTTTCCCTTCATTTATTTTATATCAAATGGATTCCTTCCCTGTTTTATATATATTCATTTTGTGTAATTAATCCATTTCAGATACGGTTTATTTAAGAAAACTGCTGCGCAGTATAAAATGAACTATTCGATACCAACATCGCATTTAACATGTCCGATTCCGTTGCTCGACCAAAGGCGATCGTCACAGCCCGATAGTGGCACCAAAATTACAAAGGACGAAACAAACCGAAATGAAGAGTATGTATGATATACGGCTCCGACGGTGGAGCCTTCAAATCAACCAATGCATCTACAAATGAACGTATGATAATTAATTTAAAACTATACATCTGATAAATTATTTTATATCTATATTGATTGGATCTTACTGAATTTTAGACTTAAGTCTTCTAATTTATACAAAATAGACAGACAGACATACAAAGAATAATAAATTAATATATCAAATGTTAAAATGGAGGTGTCAGACTATTGTTTTTTTTATATATACCATTGGTAGGCAAATGGGCCACGCGCTCTACATTGATGGCAAATCACAATTGAATGCTGTGTAATAATCGACATCCTTTGATGTACTGGCATCAACAACATTTGAAGCATAGACCAAATCAGAGATGATATCGTTAAATAGACTCCATTAGTCATCACATATATATCTAGTACATCGTGTTTTCTATTAACCAAACATGACAACAAAGAAACTCCCTGGGTGATATTGATTTATGTAACGACTCAACATTTCATTAACATTGACACATTGTTGATTATTTGCATATTCTACATATGTGCGCACACGTTTGACTTTGAATCGATTGTGCTATAAAACGAATCGATTTTATTTAAAATGAAAGTGAAAACATAGATCCCCGAGCTATTCACATGCAGATATACAAATCGATACACTTTCGATTTCTATGTTGGTTTTAAATTGGAAATTGAGTCAAGGGGCTGTATACAACAATTTGAGCTACAATTATTTTTTAAATCTTCTTGATCACAATGGAAAAGTTGACAAAAAAAATCATTCAACATTTTGTTCTCTCTATTTTTCCTCGATTTCTGTATTCGTTTCATTCTTGAGTGCTTTTATACACTCATTTGAATCTCATACAATCTGAATGCATTCAAAAGTTCTGTTCATCGAAAATTTAAATAAATGAACGGATGCGTAATGATAACGATTTTTGATTCTTGTCTGAAACACTGAAATATAAACGAACTTATGGAAAGTCACTAAGTAACTTTGAACTTTAATATTTTGATATTGAACTATAATGAGTCGTTGGTTCTTAATTATCAGTAATATATAACTTTAATTATCAGTTCAGAATGGACGCAATTTGTTTTTATGCGATTTTTATTTTGAAATTTCTATCAATACGACTTGAATCATTTCGATAAATTTCAGTTCGGTAACGTATAATAGATTGAAAATTATTGTGAGACACCCCTTGAACTGCAATGCGTTCATATGCATATGCATAATGCTTTTCAATTTGAGCTTCTTCGTGCCTGAAATCTATTCTCTTCAGTTTAGTTACAAAAGTATTTCAAAAGGTTACAATTCAACGTGATTGAAACGACATTCATTATTACTTATTGAATAGAAAATTAATGAAGTTGGCTGACTACAGGTAATGGTGTTGCATCTGATTGAAACACAGCCCAGAAATCGAAGTAGATACAGTTAGAGATATTCCAATAATAAAAAAACGTTCAAATATTTATCTTGAATGCGAAAGAAATTACGTTATAATATATTTGCTATAACAAAATTCTTGAACAAAAATCAGGGACCGGGTCGCGTATAATTTTATACTAGCATAAAAAACGCAGGCAGTATAAATATACAAAGTATAAACGCAGACGCAACATATCCATCGCTGTTCGCTATGTATGAAGCATGCGAATACATGTTCGTGTGTGCATGTGACCATTGAGAGACGCACGCACATACATTGTATTTATTGAGCGCAGCACAAAGCGAACAGCGACGGATATTTTGCGTCTGCGTTTATACAAAGTATAAATATCTTGTATGTATAATTCTATATGCGACCCGGTCCCTGACAAAAATAACGAAATTTATTACGCTGTATTTTGGAGTGAAAAGAGTGTGCTTAAGATTTATATGATAACGAAAGAAAGGAGTTCTGCCAAAATTCTATGAAACCATGAAAAATGAAGAAAGAAAATCTAACAAAGAATCGATTGTATAGAAATCAAACAATTTTATTGTCCGTAAATTGTTATCCTTTTAATAAAAACGTGACTTCTACCAATTGTCCAACACAATATACATTTATTTGTCAATTTATGGTACAAGAATAAAAAAAAGACCAGCATGGAGTCTATTATTTAATTGACGGTCTTTTAATGTTCAATCGATTGTTAGAAAAGCACTTATCAAAAAAAATCTTCAACAAAATTGATATCAAATGAACATATATAATATTAATCGCATTATAGACGAATTTATCGGTAAAAGTATTATTAATTCCACTCAGACAAGAGATGGAAGGTTTCGTTATTGGTAAGGTAATAAAGAGACTTTATAAGGAACTTCAGTAATTCTATACGACTGTAAAATAGATATCATCCCAATTTAGGTAAAAATGAGATGCAAATGAAATGAGAACAGTTGCACTCGTATCGATTTACAGATTAGTAATCATTAATATTTTTTTGGTGTTTGAAGGTGAACTGTCTTCCAAATTCATATTTATATCAAATCTATCGGAGAATTTTTCGGAATATTTATAGCAAGTGTCCATGCCAAATTTATGCCCAATTTGTCGGTGAGCGCTTTATTGGGAAATTGAATATTTATCGCTTTATGAGAACCACTCCACTAAAATAATTTAAAAAAAAACAGAAAAAAATCATAAATTTTAATGAGTTTGTTGATTGCAAATGAAGCTTACTTTAAGTTTTTGTGGAGCACCGAGCATTCGTACTTCGGTTGCATCATCAAATCTTCCACCTAATGAGTAAAGTTTTATGTCACCAGAATCATAGGGATATTTCAATACCATTGCATAAACGACGGTACGATCGTCATCAAGCGTTTTGCTAGTATACCAAACATCTGGGGTTTTTGTATCATTTTGATAAATCCATGGATTACTGCCATAAATTGCTTCACCGTTTATTTTTAACCAACTTCCCATCTCACGTAAACGTTCAACGAAAATTGGTTGAATAACACCGTTTTGCGTTGGTCCAACATTCACCAGCACATTTCCACCAGTACTGACAGTAGTCACGATTTCTATCAATTCAATCAACATTCAAGTAATTTATTCAATGTTTTTATTTTTAATTTTGCATACCACTAATTAACTGGCCTGGCGTTAGAAAGTCTTCGAGACGTGCATTTGCTCTGTATCCCCAGCTATTTTTATCAATTGGAAATGCATTTTCCCATTTTTTCTTCTGCAATTCTCCTATTATGACCATAACATAAATATGGTAAATTTTCGTTTCGTATCAAAGACATCTGTTACAGTGGAAGCATGCAGATGGAGAGTTGTCTTAAGATCTGTAAAAAGTTACCTGGATTGAAATGATCTGAGCATGTGAGAAAGTCTCCATGTTTACACAATGTTCCACGTCCCCATCTATCATTTGTTACAATTGTGTCGCGTACCGGACTCTCATTGTACAACCTGCATAGTTTCAATTATTTATATTAATTAGACATTTTCATGGTATATCAGAACCCTGCTGATCAAGTATGCAACTAAAACAGAATCGCATTTTACCAAGCAATAAATTCGGTTGAATTCCAGTATTGCCAATCCGCTTCCCAATCGCCATCCGACCAAAGTACTTCTGGTTTATATGTATTTACAAGCTCAAGCATTTCAGGCAGTACCTAATTTAATCAATTGTTCGAATGGAAGACTAATCCTGGGATTTTATTGAAATATAACCTAACCATAAAAAAATTCTCATTTTTCGTATGGTGGTGTTACACTTTAACGAAATCTCAGGAGACATTTCACATTCATTCGGACAATCATATTGTTATTTCATATTTAGTTGATATGAGGGTATTCATTTTGAAAACATTTTTCGTAAATAAATAAACAAATAGATTCAATTGATAAAGTAAATCGTGTTTACACATTGAAACTAAATCATAAGCCAATTCATTCAAACAAACACAATGCAATCACATTGAACAAATAGATAGCGTTAACAGTTTAAGTTAAATGTGATAGTAAAACTTAGAAATGATTAAAAACCGTTAATACTGGGCGCCATCTATTGGTATTTTTGTTGATTTTTAGCACAAATGATTGTGTTACTCACTTTGTTTACAACAAAAATATTATCATTGAATTCCTTTTGTTTATCGCTCAAATACATTGGATTGAACCATTCGAATAACGAATGATATAGGCCAAATCGAAGTGTGGTATTTTTTCGGATGGCAGTGGAAAGTTCAGAAACAATATCACGATGAGGTCCAATCTGGAAGAAATGGAAAAATACAGAAATTCACATGGAAAATGTGTAAAAATGGTTGAGTTTATATTTATGCGCGTCTTTCTAAAAAAAAAACTTACATCCACTGAATTCCAGCTAAATGAATATTTTGACGGCCAAAATGCATAGCCATCATGATGTTTACTTGTTAAAACCACATATCTATAATGTGAAAAAAAAATTCATTTTTCTTGGAAAATATAAAGTTTTAATTTAATTTTACGAAAAAAAAATTACTTGGCACCGCTTTCTTCAAACAATTTTGCCCATTCGTTTGGATTAAAATGTTCGGCTGTGAATTGAGATGCAAATTCTTGATAGGTGAATCCGGGTTTGAAATTCTTATTCATGTATTCAACATATGATGGTAGATGCTTATTGCGCCAATTTGTCCAAAACCACTCAGTACCATATGTGGGCACTGAATATATACCCCAATGGATGAAAATGCCAACTTTTGCCTCATCATACCAATTTGGCAATGGCCTTTGGTCCAAACTTTCCCAAGTTGGAGAATAATTTACTCGATGTTGTTTTGCGACCAATTCGCTCACAATACAATTGAAAATTATTGCCAAATAACAAAAGAAAAAAACCACACTTTTTATCATCGTACTTTACTTAATTGATCTCTCTTGATTTTTAATAATCTCTTTCGAATTAGTAACGATCAGACATCCATCAACGTCTAAAACGATGTATCATACTGTACTGTTTATATACATGCGAACGTTGTTTAACCAGCTGTACAACTAGCAGTAATCTGTCACTATTCTCTTCTTATGCATATAAATTAAAATAATCATTTTTTTTTTTGGAATACAAAACCTTTATAATCTAATCAGCTTTCAACGAGTCAGTAAATTCAATGGGGAACAGCTACAGGGTGTTTCAGTGAATCCGTGTATCCATGAAAATCAAATACTCAAATTTTGATTGTTAACTTAGATAAAATGTGTGCGAAAAATAATATTTGCGATGATGATGATGAAGAATTCTTGCATTAATGCAACTATGATGATGATGTGTATGACTGCATCCATAATTTTTTTTTTTTTTTTGAAGTGAAAATCCACAAAAAAATCCAATTGTGGCATTGAAAATTCCAAATTATTTGCAAGATAAAATACGAGAGAGAAACGAAATTTTTTAATAACACAACATTGAATGACACAAAGAGCATTTTTTTACATTAACACGATCACGATGTAAAAAACTAAAAATATCTAACACAGTCTGCGTTGGTGACGTCGCATTGTATACCATGCGATACTTCCAATTTTTGCAAAAAATTCCAAACATCACCCTGTACGACAACAGTACTAATATCGTTACAAAATGTACCGACATGTACAATTTATGTACGTATATACAATGTACATACACAGAAACGTACTTTTTCTTTGTAATTGTTATGCTTTGTTTAATATTGGAATAAAATTTTTAAGTAAACATATAAAAGAATATTTCCAGGTCAATGGTTATTTATGGCCAAGTGCACTTGAAGTTAGAACAAAAAGAGTCACGAAGTAATATTGATATTATAGAAATTTGAAACAGTTTTTTATGATAAGAATAATACTTTCAAATTCGAGCACATAAATTATGAATAAAGATAAAATGCCTGAAAACTGAAATTTTTTTATCATGAAAGTTGCCATTCAAACAATATTTCACTTTATATAATTATCTGGTGTTTTGAGAACACAGAATAAGTTATGCAGATACAATTTATTTGCTTGTATAACCCTCTGAATAAACCGGTGTGAGCAGTGAGCACACCGTTTCCAAATTGGTTCATACTACGATGCGCTTCATGTAGAAACTAACGTAGTTTTATTCAAATCATTGTTCTTTACGTGACTTGGTGAATATATGTTCACCATTCAACAATTTTCGAAACACTCTACTTACTCCGTTTTTTTGTTTAAAATATAAGTTTTCGAAAATTACTGTGTGTTACAGAGTCACACAGTCTGCAAAAAATTATTATTAAAATAGATTATTAAATTACTTGAGTCAGCTGACATTCCTGAAGATGTAAAGATTTCTGAGAAAAAAATTATTGAGTTTACTGCAACACTTACCATTAGAACTTTATTTCCAAATTAATTTAGACATTTAAATAATCAATTTTTGTGTAATAGATGAACATAATTCAAGTGTAAAGACATGATTCGGTTTTATTGTAAATATGTCACGTTAAGAGTATACTTTACAGCACAATCACAACTATCTGAATTCTATCCTCAGTCAGATATTTTATTAATTTTTAATTTTGGTTTATATGTAAAATACATACAAAAAGATGTATGCAATAAAAAAAAATGTTTTTTACTTTTTAACGAACTTTTCTTACTTTACTTAAGAAATTGACACTTTGAATACATAGCAATGGATTACATAGCATTAACAAGAGTTCGCCTTTTTATTCATCATAAGCGATCTTTATTGTTCTACCAATGATCTATCTCTTCATTGCACTGTATATCAAGTGCACTGTATATCATGTTATCATATTTTTTGTTAATGAATCTCTAACTGTGAAAGAATATTGTTTAAATTTTCACGAATGTAAAATGTAGAAATCGTGACGTAAAGAAAAATCAATTTTAAAGGAAACATGTTCATTTGCTATCTCCGTCATGACCAATTGTATTTTCGGAGATGTGTTGATCCGGTAGAAAAGTAATACTTGTTGCGGAGATTCCAAATTCCAAAGTTCTTGAGTACCACCCATCACTGATTATAAATCCATTGCAGCAAAGACGTAATTGCAATGTAGTTCCGCTACTTTTGAAATTAGTGCCTATGTTTAATTCAATTTTATAACCGTATTCACTATCTTTTTTAAAAATTATGGGTACATAACTGTACTGAGTGTTGTTAAAATTAATCGTTTCAAAATCATAGGGACGACACCCAGTTCCGATATCGCCAAAGGTTTCCGGAGATTTGGCTTTGTTACACTGTTCTATTCTGACCATAGGGTACTTGTTTCGAAATTCATCAAAGGTATTTGCATAATCACTGTATTTTACCACGGGGTATGGCATCGAACAACCACCATCATGCTCATACCAAGACCATGATGATTCCAATATTCGAAACCAACTGAAATTTATTTTATACTGAATTGGTGCATCAAGATCCTGAAAGCAAATAATAATAATTAATAATTGGAGAATAATTAAATCAAATGAAGTTTCATTAAATCAATGAATTAGATTGTTGATTTCAAAAATGAAAAGCAAAAAGGACTTAATGTTGAAATTTCCGTTTTTGTCTATTGTAAAATTGGAAATTTCGAATACCAGAGGTGGTAAACGCCTACACACACTACTGATTTGTTCGT